CATTTGGTAGGCCTCCTTGGACGAGTGATCAGCCAGTCGCAAGGCCTCAACCTGTACACAGGGCAGCACGACACAGAAAGACGCGGACAAATATCCATGCCTTGAGTGAGATTCGAATCCACAGTCCCAGTGTCCAAGCGGCACAAGGCCCATGCCTCAGATCACGCAACCACTGTGACCAGCTGCTTTTAATTAACCTTAAGGTTCATTAATGTGTGTACAAGAGCTGACCACTGGAACCTATTATAACCCACAGGAATCTAGACCATACCCTCCCACCCTGTCTCTTTAAATCTATTTTAATATTATCCTCTCATCTACACTATGGCCTTTCAAGTGGTATTGTCCCTTCAACATCTCTTGAATTTCAACCTCTACACTACAATACTGTCTATGATGACCTGTAATGCAATTAATAAAGACTATGAGAAACAGTATTTGCCCAAGCATGAAGATGCTGTTGTTGCTATATATAAATGATACGAACATGATGATGACAGCCATGGAGACGCTCAGATGGCTGTCATATTCACCACTGTGAGAACCTGAAATCTACAGATATGAATGTGATCTCATCACGTCTCAGAAATGAGACGTTTGGCAGAGGCAGTCACAACCATACCCTGACGATATCATATTCTCGGTTCAGGATATTGTCTGACTTTGCATGAATATTTGGGAAATAGTTGAAGGAAATTTTGTTGGACCACTTTTTTATTTGCATTACTTTTCATACATTTAGGTACAATCTAGACAAGAGTAATAACAATGTGATAACAAATGCAAAAAGCAATTACTCCAAAGAACCTGCCACTGAACTGCACAAATCACCATCACGCACATCATAAACACTCTCCATCATTATCAAAGCAAAGTGAAGCAAGAAAAGGCTAATTAAAGAGATTAAAATTATACAGTTTTCTGTAAGTTACATTATTCAGTAGTAATTACCTTACATGGTGTATATTATTCACAGGCCAGAAAATTCGGGCCTGGTCGTTTGAAGCTTTCTAAAGAAGAAACAAGGAAAGGACAAGAAATGATAAGAGAAGAAAAACAGTGAACACTTTGCTTGGTTTTGTTCCCTTAGTCATGATCCGTGATTTTTCATTTCATTTTAATGTGATTTTTTTTTTATTTATATTTTTTGTATTTATTCATAGTGAAGTCCAGGTTTCGCTTCAGACAATTTAATCCTGCCATAGATTATTTAATTTGAGAGTATCTTTATACAGCCTCTTTTATGGCATGATGAATTCTACCTTAAAAATGTATACCTTATATATACCAGTGTTGATAAATTGTTTTCCAGACAACGTAAGTTTATCTTACCACCACTCAGCATATAACCTTATAAAATAAAGTTTTCAGATCAGGTAAGTCTGAAATGATAATATAAATTTATACCAAATGGGATTGTAAAAGAACAGTTATATACAAACCTAGTTCTGTGTTTGGTAGTCGTAATAAAGGTAACTTCTAATATTACTTACATGAGCTGTTGTATCTGAAGTTAGTCCTGGATTATCATCATGGCAATCAAGTTGGTTTGGCCCACTTTTGCCAGCATTACTAGAGAAATTTTTACTATGTTTGCACTCGCAGACTTGTGTCAATTATTGTGAAAAACATTTAAGCTTCAGACATAATATGAACACCTTCACCACTGCTACTATACATGTTCTCTCCGTGTTTTGCAATACTTTCCAACTGTAATTATATAAGAATAGGTAATAACTTTCAGCATCAACTTTATTTAAATTATACTCTATTTGTGCAAGCAAAATGTATTTACTTTCCTTTGGAATCTGAACCACTTATTCCTGTAGTAAAGGGTTTACATTTTATGAGGAATAATTAACATACTCTATCGTCATTAACTTAGTCGTCTAAATAAACTTGCTCTGGTAAAATTTCCAAAGCTTGAGAGTTTAGTTGCTGGGTGTAGAGTGTATTCAACTTCCTTGTATAAGGTCCTCCATACCTGAAGACAGAGATTGACTCTCATCTCCGAAACGTCGTGTTTTTTATTGATTTTATTTAGTCTTGGACGACGGATAATATCCAGAAAACAGTTTAATTCAACAACGCACCATCGTCACAAACTTTCAGAATTGACCTCCATACATGTCTTGAGATGAACAGCGCTGTTCAAATTTTAAGACGTTACTACACTAAAAATGGAATTTGTGGTAGGAAGGCTCCGGTCTTCATTGTGTTACTGGTATACATATTACTGTAAATGCTATAATGCTTATGTGTGTGTTCTGGTGTAATTAAACAGGGCAAATTCAAATAAAGTGAGAAGCTGACCAGAAGCAATAATAAAATCCTTAAAAATTAAATAACAGTAAAATTAAACAATGAATTCTTGCATATAATGCAGAATTTACAGCTGTTCATATCAATCAATACTTGCAAGAATTCTCTAGTTTGTTAGTATGTTTAAATCCACAATGTTATTGCATATAATTAATTCTGAGACAAACATTTGCATATAGTATAGTATTCCGTATGATCTACTTCATATTGCAGTGTTTTGTTTTTACAAAGAACTTGCATTAGTAACTATCTATACAGGGTATTCCCAAAATGAAAACCTTTCTTTTAATTGCTCTCTTTTTTAAAAATATTTGACATAAATATCTTAAACTGGATGGTCATAAAGATACAAATTTTAGCTTTATATACATGATGAATATATCACTGTTGTCAATGCGATAGTTTATTTTCTTCTTCTGTAAAAGAAGACGGCGATCTTACACTGAATGAAACTTTCTGAGACTGTCCTGCTGCTGTAATGTTGATTTAAGAAAAAAATAATGTCACCTTAGTCTCCCACTCCCTCGCATGGGGGGCATGAGACCCAGGTTCAATCCCTGGTCAAGGTGACAAAAATTTTCTGCTCAAATAAATTAAACAACACTGCAGCACCTTACAACAATGGTACTGCTTAAGAATGATCCCGCATGATTCATCATATGTCTTGATTTTAACTCTGTAATTCATTCTGATGTTGATGTCTTATGAATGACGTTTCCCATACCGGTCATAGAAAACACCATTTACAAGACTTATGCCATGGTTATGGAAACTTCCTAAGATCTTTCAAGGGTTCTCCAGTGCAGAAACTCATGTTGATCTCAGCATTAGATGATAAAATACTTTCAAAGAACATTCACGTCAGACATTTAATAAAATATGCATGAAAAGAATAAAGATTATCCTTTGTGAAACAGCCTATATATTCAGGTCTCATTGACTAGAATACTCAACCTGAATGGTTGTGCTATTATATTCATTCACACAAACATTATGTTCAACTTTTAATCTACAAAATATCTGCTTGCTGTATAATATTGAGTGCAAGCGACGTATGGTTACTATAAGGGTTATCTGTGACTGAAAAAATCTTCAGGAACTATGTTGTTCTGCACAGTGATCGGACAAGTCCAAATTGCGGAATGCTCCAACACACACATATAACTGTAATGCGACAAGACAAGGTTAAAACATCACTTACCTTCCATACCTTTTTGACCCCAAAAAGAAGTACACATTCACAACACAGAAGTTTTGAAAGCAAAGAAAGAGACATCAACAGGATGTGAAAAGTAACTTCTCCTAAACTGACAGATATTTGTACTCTTAAATAGAAAGAAAAAATTACAGGCAATGATTGCAACGTTCCCGGCATTTCATCTTCTTATCGCTTCATACTTGTCCAATCACTGTGTTGTTGCAACATGTTTGAATACAATTTTTTCCAACCACATCCATGGACTTAAATCAAATATTAAATGCTCAGCACTGTCTGAAAGCCCACTTCAATATTATTACGTAATATATTAATAAAAGCATTCCATAATATTTTTGTTAGAATACGAATTGTTCCATATTTCTGATCAATATAATGCGATTCATAGCTAGTAATGTAAGCCATGGACATTTGAGACAAAAAATGACGTTAGAAGAAGCTATATGGGATATACTGCGCATACGTAGATTTACATACATAGCAAATGAGTTTTATGCTCCATAAAAACATAAGTTGATCAGATTATTCCAATATGATTTCAAGTATTGCATTACACTACAAAATTAAATATCTTATGTTTCCTTTTGGATCTTTATGAATATTTAGTAAGAAATTAAAATAGTTGAAAGATACAGAAGAAAAACTTGACTTACAGCACGCATTCAAGGGGTCTATTATTGGATATGAGGAACAGTGGTAGTATGTTCAAGCCATAGTTAAGGTTCCAGCACCTATGCCAAAACCTACGCCATGGGGCCCAAATTTCCGGCCATAGCAGCTGCGGCAATAGATATCTCCATCTGGACCATCATTTAAGTTGGTGGAGTCCAGAGAGCGACGGCAGTCTCCACAGCTGAAGCAGCGTCGATGCCAGATCTGAAGAATGAAAAAATATAAACAAACAAAAAGGAAATATTAAGATAGTTGTCTTCTGAGTTGTCACACTGTGTACTCCAGTAGAAATTTACTAACATTTTAGAGGTGCTTGCCACCACCATAATCAGGGCTGATTGTCTTCATGGTGGAGGTAGCAAGTACATGTGAAATGTTGGTGAAGTTCTACCAGACTACACAGTGAAAACAACCCAGAAGTCAGTTATCTTAATATCAGCTGCCATTAGAATCTGAGATCTCACTTAATAAACAAAAAAATATTGTTAAATGTCTATTCTTATTATATACTAATGTAACTGAAACTAGAATACTATACTTTAGCTGAAAGTTTAAACAGTACTGAATTTATAACACTTTACGACTGAGGCCATATATTCCTCTGAAATGTTGGTTATTACCTATAAGTCTATGCAGCATTCTAACCCAGGAGACAAAGATAAATGTGAAGATTTCTGTCTTCTGAGTTGTTGCACTGTGTAGTCTGGTCGATGTTAACCAACGTTACAGAGGTCATACTGCCTCCGTCATCAGAGCGATGAAATGTTGGTAAACATCTACCAGACTACACAGCGCAACAACCCAGAAGACAGAAATCTTCATACTCACCACTGTGAAAACCTCAAATCTTACAAACATAAATGTGTTTAGTGCTCTGAGAACCTTGACTCTCTCTGGGCATTGGATAACCATGTGTGGATAGGTGGATGAACAGACGTGAAGAAATGTATCTGATTTTAATATGCACGACTTTTTAATTTTGTATTTAATGATATATGGGAAAAAATGTGAAGTAATATGTAAACCAACACTTACCCTAGTTTTACTGATCATCTGTTCAGCAGCATATACAGGATAACCACATCGTGGACAGCCCTTTCCTAGAGGTGCTTTCAACCCTGTAGTAGGTTTGGTGTCAGGACTAAATGTACACAAATTACATGATAAATCAATACATTTTAAAAAAAATTCATTCAGAATGATGGATTGTGGTTTTGTATATAATTGTGACAATCAACAATTATGGTTAAGCCACATATCTACTTAAGTAACTCAGATGTCTGATACTTAGAGTACAGTACTAAAACAATTTCTGCTTTGAATCCCACATATGTTGAGAGTTTTATTCTTGTCAATGTTAGAAGTTACCAGCAGATAAGACATGAGATAGAGCAGTAAGGAAAAATGGTGGAATGATATCATTTACATAAATATTACTAACTGCCTGTTAGTAGTACCTTTATGTTAACAAACATTATTATCACTGAACATCATCTACGCAACACACATCCTTAAAACTTTCCTCCCCTCAAAACTAAATGTTATCATATATCAGTTATTCAAGTACCTGCAATCAAAGAAATTTCCCCACAACAATACTGTAAGCATTTCTTGGGTCCCCAATATATCCAGCCTACTGTAAGCTTCCACATTTCAGTACCTAAACAATGTTAGATGACTCATATAAATCATGGAGTCCCTTTTTACATGATGTCCTAAGCCAGTAACTGGTACATAATATTACGTTCTTGTGCATATAAACAAAGGACATTATGTTTGTAAACAGAATGAAATTTTGGGATTTAATTAAGAAATAAACCTCCTTTTCACATTTTTTAGATGACAATGTTAAAAATATTTTCATTAATTCCTACTTATTGCCATATGCAGAAATCTTGTAACAAAAGTCCAATCTCAGAGAGAAAAATAATTTTTAAATTAAATATTACATTTATTTTGTTTATTTATTTTTTGAAGAGATGCCCTTTCTATGAAAAATTAGTATGTATACACCACAAGAGAATGTAGAACAATTTAAAAAACAGGTAATGATTAACGAATGCAGAGAAATCGGTGGCGACATCTTACACAGAGCTGGAACCAATCTCACAATGCAGATCGATACGCATATGAATGTAGGAGCTGAATTTGAACATTTGATGAAGTAACATAAATAAATAAATAAATAAAATTTATTTTCCCTATGACAACATACTTTTGTTACATTCCATATATGTATATTATGTTCACTAATGAAGTTGAACACAAGTTTTACTTTCCAGCTCAGTGACTCACTGCCAAGCTCTATGAGGTTTTCCCAGTAGAGTCAACTATAGCTCCATATAACAATAAAATCAACTTTCCCACATCATAGCATGTCCTTCCGGGAGCTGGGAAATGATAGCTGGATTCAACTTTATCAGAGAATATACTGTATGTCCTTATATATGACAACAGTGAAGATTCTGACATCACTAGAGTACAATGTAAAGTAAAGTAAAGTTTGTCCCACTATACACCATGTAGGCGTTTGGGGTGAGTGGAGGTATAGCTCCTCTCTTCCTTGACCTCGGCACTAGATGGGGGTGAGTGGTCAGCATCACGCCCCGGCCGGCTTTACCCCCGGGAAAGGACCCCGGTACCCATTGTAGAGGAGGCTGGGTGG